TGGGGCTCGAACTCATGGACTGTGAGATCATGGCCTGAGCCAAAGTCAGTTGCTTAACCAACTGAGCCACCCAGGTGCCCCTGTATTCTTTTAGAGATCAATATTCAGAGTTGCTATTGATTGATTTTGGCACAATACCATGAAATAGAAACATGAATTCCTTTCACGGGCTATTTGGTGATGTGTGTTCCGGTAACTTAAAATCCCACAGATATTATCAAAATATACAAGATCACCTGATTATGCAAATCTTTTCGTACCTCAGAAATCTGACATTTTGAGCTGTGATTCAGAATCAAAGTGAACATTGAAAGAAAACATCAAAAAGTGAAGAATAATGTGTAATTCCTCTTCTTGGAAAAACAGTCCCATATTATTATAATAGCAGTTGCCCGTCTCTCTCAGATATATCCGTATCTGTAAACATCTTTCTCTAGAACAATCTCATTTGTATCTCTAGTACATTTTGTGTTTTTACTTTCTTCTATTCTTCCATGAATTTTGGGCATAGTTTGGAGATATTCCAAAGGATTTTATCCAGCTACTTCGTGAATGTACAATAGAAGTCATTGACTTCTTATCTACTATAAATTTGCATTTTCTTAATTTTTCTATTTTACATTGGCTTACAGATTCTTCCTATTAAAACACGGTGGCAATATGTTTGTCAGCAAAATAAAACTTCTCAGTGTTGCCTATTACATCTTTCCTACAGCTTCAGTGTCGTATGCTTTGTATAGAATAACAACACATTTTTAAAGAATACAATTCGTTGATATTTGACATATGTAAGCAGCAATGAAACCATGACCACAGTAAGATAGCAAATACAGTCATCACCCCCGTAAGTTTGTTCCCGCTCCTTTGTAAGCCATCTGTCCTCTCGCTCTTCCATGAGGAGACATTTGAGAGGAGTGCTTATTATCCTCCCGGAGGCTGGTAGAGGGTTTATAAAGACGATTCTTTATGACAGATATATTGTAAACGTCTTTAAGATTCCTCACCATCTCCAATATTATTTCAGCCTGTCCATATTTTGCCTGACCATTTCCCTCTTGGCTCTGATGTGTTTGAAATTCTCTGGAAGCATGACATTATTACTGCCTCCATGGGAACTTGTGCTTGTCTATTTTACCTCCGGTGAACTGTTTTTGCTGTGAGTATACTAAAGTACTTTATACATAGACTTGTAATCATAAGTAAGCAGAAAATTTTATAATAGCTGGACCTTTTATATGCACTCAATATTACAAATTTCCCTCTAATACGTTCAATTTTCATTATCATTTAGACTCAATACGTTAAAATTTCTGTAGAAATGTCTTCTTTGACTTATATGCACTTTTAAAAAATGTTTTATTTATTTTTGAGACAGAGAGAGACAGAGCATGAATGGGGGAGGGTCAGAGAGAGGGAGACACAGAATCTGAAACAGGCTCCAGGCTCTGAGCTGTCAGCACAGAGCCCGACGTGGGGCTTGAACTCACGGACCGCGAGATCATGACCTGAGCCGAAGTCGGCCGCTTAACTGACTGAGCCACCCAGGCGCCCCGACCTATGTGCACTTTTTATTTTTTTTTTTATTTTTTATTTATTTTTAATTTTTTTTTCAACGTTTATTTATTTTGGGGACAGAGAGAGACAGAGCATGAACGGGGAAGGGGCAGAGAGAGAGGGAGACACAGAATCGGAAACAGGCTCCAGGCTCTGAGCCATCAGCCCAGAGCCTGACGCGGGGCTCGAACTCACGGACCGCGAGATCGTGACCTGACTGAAATCGGACGCTTAACCGACTGCGCCACCCAGGCGCCCCACTATGTGCACTTTTTAAAAATTCAACTATAATTAACATTCAGTGTAATATCAGTTTCCATATGGTTCAGTGATTTCATGCATTTCTCATGCTCATCACAAGTGTACTCTTGATCTATTTCACCTCTTTCAGCCATCCCCCACCCAACTCCCCTCGAATCAGTGTGTTTTTAAAGAGAAGGTTGTTGTTTAATCTCATTTTTTTTTTTGTCATTGTCCAACTAAGAACTTTTTGTTCTTGACGTCTAGTTTGAGTCATTTGTGGTCTGAGAACATACTTCCTATGATTTCCTTTACTTTGTTCAGATCTCTCTGTGACGTCCCAAATACCTGCTGTAATTTTATAATGTCTTCAGGGAATGACTCTGGTCAAGGAAGCACTTTTTGCACTTTCTGGAAACGTTTATTTTCATTTCTGTTGTTGCTTGTGTGGTTTCTCTAGCCATGTCCCACTTCTTTTCTGATTTGAAAACCTTCGTTGTTGGTGATGTTGGAAAAATCATAGGACCTGATTTGATAGAATTGTTTGTCAGTTCAGGAAATAGCCAACTGCAGGAGACATTTCTCCAGTGTTTCTGGTGAGTCAGAGGCATCTTTTAGTCCAAAGATTTTACCTTTAGTTTTGTTTTGTCTGAAACTCTGAAACAATTTGTGGTTCTGGACTTTATTATGGCTATTGGACTTGGCAAAAAAGAATTGCAAGTAAATGGTGCATTGGTTATTAATTGAAAATAAGTCTGCCATTTCCATTATTGAAGATAAGTAGTTTGGTATCTGTTTAATAGAATGGAAACAGAGCTTTTGGTCAAAAATAAGATGTCTACCTTAATTCTCTTCTGTAGAAATGGTTGTTGAAATATCAGCAAGTAGAAAGGAAATTCTTTCTATAGGTTATTCTACTTCTAAGTTTGTAGTATGCTAGGCCACGGCTACACTTTTCTAGAGTGTCTCCTGATGCAGAGGAAATAAAAACAAAATGAAAGTATTGGGGCTACATCAAAATAAATCGCTCCTGCTCAGTGATGGAAACAATCAACAAAACTGAAAAGCAACTTACTAAATGGGAGAAGATATTTGCAAATGACATAGCTGATAAAGGGTTAGTGCCCAAAATATACGAAAAAAATGATACAACTCAACAGCCAAAAAACAAAGAATACAACTTACAAATGGGCCGAAGTCACAAACAGACATTTCCACAAAGAAGACATTCAAATGGCCAACAGACACATGAAAAGATGCTCAAAATCATTCATGGTCAGGGAAATGCAAATCAAAACTACCGCGTGATATCACCTTACACCTGTCAGAACGTCTAAAATCAATAAGACAAGAAAAAAACTAGTGTTGGCGAGGATGTGGAGAAAAAGGAACACTCATGCACTTTTGCTGGGAATGCAAATTGCTGCTGCCATTTTGAAAAACAGTATGGAATTTCCTCAGATAATTGACAATAGAACTAATTTGTGATGCAGTAATTGCACTACTGGGTATTTACCCAAAGAATACAAAAGAAAAAAAAAAAAAACTATTTCTAAAGGATATAAGTACCCCTGTGCGGGATAAGCTTAGGAATCCCCTGGGCTTACACCAATGGGTTAACAAGGCACAAAGAAATACAAAGTCAATATAATACTCACACCCGAGTTTGGGTAAACCAGATTGGCACTCCAAGAATAGGGGGGTTCAAAGACACCCTGAGAATAGGGAGGAAAAAAGGTGCCAGGAATAGGGAGGTGCAAAAGTACCCCAAAATAGGGAGGGGGTGCTGAGCCCCCAAAATATATATAGAGAGGCAAAGGACTGAAATAGAAATGGCGCAAAAGTGGCCAATACACAGAAATAACAAGATTAGATATTCAGGGTGAAGGCACCCCAAATTTATTACTATAGCAGAAAGCTGCTTTCCTAGGAGAATAGGGCCAGGATAGTTACATTGGTGAATTGGACTTAGGACCACTGCGATGCAGGCAAAGCAGCCCAGAGTGGAGATGGTTAACAAAAGAAAAGGTGGCTTATTAACCCTGAGGTTAGTCTCCCTATCTCTCTCATACCCTAGGCTGGCAAAGATAAACAGGCACAGCACCTCCTGTCTGCTGTTAACAACCATCTACCCATCTTCCCGGTGTCTGGGTTTTGTTTTATGTTGACCCAAACCCCAAACACTGTATATCTTCAAAATCCACTTTTTCCCCCCCTCACATCCACAAGATAATGTTCCTAGTTTCTGTGTCTCTTCACGTTTGCAAGCCTTCTGATCTGAATAAATATGGGGCAAGGACCCTTATTCGGGGCTCTTGTCTTTTTCCGGGACATTAGCCATCTCTCGTTTGAATCCTGCATCTGCTCTTTTGCTGGCCAAAAGAGAACTTTAGACTTAGAGTCTATGACACAGCCCTATATTTACTGCAGCGTTATTTACAATAGCCAAATTGTGGAAGCAGCTCAAGTGTCCATCCATAGATAAGTGGATGAAGAAGAGGTGATCTATACATTAACACACACACACACACACACACACACACACACACACACACGAATATTACTCAGCCAAAAAAGGAATGAAATCTTGCCATGTTCAACAACACGGATTGATAGAGAGGATATTATGCTAAGTGAAAGATAAATACCATATGATTTCACTTATATGTGGAATTTAAGAAACAGAACAAATGAGCAAGGGGGGGAAAGAGAGACGAACCAAGAAACAGATTCCTAACTTTAGAGAGCAAAGTGATGGTTACCAGAAGGGAGGTGGGTGGGGGGATGGGAGAAATAGGTGATGGGGATTAAAGAGTAAGTACACTTACCAGGATGAGCCCTGAGTGACGTACAGCATTGTTGAATCCCGATATGTGCACCCGAATCAAATATAACATTGTATGTTAACTATACTAGAATTGCAACACTTACAAAAATAATTTATTTTGCTGAACCACCCTTTATTATAATACCACATTGGATTATGATTTTGACATTGTCGTCACAAGCTATACTTTTATTAAAAAAGTATTGTTTCCACATCAAATTTAATTTTCTTTATCCCTCTTCTAGGTAGAGTCGAGTATATGAAGGTAACATTTCAAGCTTCTATTTTCCTTGTAATCTACTGTTTTTAAATCTCTTTTTAAAAGATTCGAAAGCCTGACGTGGAGCTCGATCTCACAAAGCATGAGATCATGACCTGAGCCACAATCAAGAGTTGGATGCTCAACCGACCGAGCCACCCAGGTGCCCTTTAATCTTTTCTTAATACAGCTGTTCACTGTGGTTTCTCATTCAGCTAGAAGTAAAGGCATTGACTTATCAGGTCTAGTTAGCCCCTCAACTCTTTACAGTGACTTTTCCTTGTTTGCATCCTAAGTGACAACACAGATTGAGTTGCCACCAACTGAGACAGGTGACCAAGTAGAGGAAAAAATCAGACAATTAGAGAGAAGCGGATGAGTTTAACTCTTGTCAGAAATGTTTAAGAATCCAGTGGCAGGAGTATTTTGGCATGACTGGCCTACTGGGGGAAATGTACAAATTAAGGCTCCATCTGAGCCTGTAACGAAGCTCAAGGCTTAGAGAAGGGGTCAGATATTGCCAGGCCACGTGTGTGTCCCTAGAGTGGTTTAGACATGTGTTATGAGTCTTGGGTGGAGAGAGCCTCTAATGCCAGTGGAGAGTGAGTGGAAGTGAATGAGATGCAAAATTGGGCTAATGGATTGTGTATGGGCTTCACGGACTGGGCTGATTAAGTGACCCGGCATATAGTGGGTCCTCAAATGCTGGTGTTGCTATGGGGAATACAGCACTGCTGGTATAGAGAAAGGTGGCCTCAGGGCAGCAGAGCTCTCACATTGTACAAATAGCAGGTAAGCTTGTAGTTTGGGACCGAACAATAGAATTCAATGCCTGTCAAAAGATTCTGGAGTACTGGGCCCTGTTCTAGGTGCTTTCCATGTGCTATCCACATGTAAGGTGAGTGTTTCCTGCATGCATGGTGTTTACCAGTAATACAGGTGGTAAGATTTGCATCTTGGGCTTTCACCCTCTTGTGATTTGGGGAGATGAGGAGTTATCCAGGGTTCTAGCTACTAAGTAGTAAAGCTGAGATTTTACCCAAGTGTGTTTGATTCCAAGGTCACATGCACCTGAGCATCCCACCCTGGTTCCCATGGACGGGACCCTGTGGAGCAGCAGAAAGACATTGGAGGCCTCTGAGTGCCAAACAAATGACATTTAGAATAATTTCTCTCTCAGTATTTGTTTAAATGTTTATTTACTTATTTTGAGAGACCGTGTGTGTGCACGAGTGGTGGAGAGGCAGAGAGAGAAGGAAAGAGAGAATCACAAGCAGCCTCCATGCTTTCAGTATAGAGCTTCACATGGGGCTCATTCCCACCAACTGTGAGACCATGACCTGATCCAAAATCAACTGATCAGGAGCCCAGGAGCCCGACTCTCTTGTTATAGTTTTTGTTGTTGTTATTGTTGTTGTTATTGTTATGTATGTATGTATGTATCCATTTATTTAAAAGATTTATTTATTTTTGAGAGGGAGTGTGGGTGCAAGTGAGGAGGGGGCAGCGGGAGAGGAGGACAGAAGATCCAAAGCAGGCTATGTGTTGACAGCAGTGAGCCTGATATGGGCTGGAACTGGTGAGCAGTAAGATGATGACCAGTACTGAAGTTGGATCTCAACTGACTGAGCCACCCAGGAGTCCCTTTCTTTATTTTTAAAGTGTGAGTGAAAGTGGGGGGAAACCTGGAAGAAATTAGGTAGGTTATTTTTTCTTTTTGACTTTTGTTTTTAAAGTAATTGCACTGATTTGTTTATTTGATCATGAAAGAGAATATAAGTATGTAGGATACTTGATTTTTCTCCATTTCTCCTCTGGTGATGTCAAAGAAATTTGAACTGTTCATATATTCTAAGAATAATCTTGCTTAATGATGGCATATTATTAAGGACACCTGGGTGGCTCAGTCGGTTGTGTATCTGACTTTCAATTTTGGCTCAGGAAATGATTGCAGGGTCATGGGATTGAGCCCTCCCTTGGACTCTGCACTGAGTCTGGAATATGCTTAAGATTCTCTCTCTCCCTACCCTTCACCTACTCATGTGTTCTCTCTCCTGAAAGAAAAAGAAAGAGAAGAGAAGAGAGAGGAGAGAGAGGAGAGAAAGAGAGAAAGAAAAATAAAATGCCACTAACTAAAACTTGCTTTCTTCAGGGACCACAGTAATGCCAAAATGTTATATGTGACCAAAGTGCCAGGTCATGTGCCTTTCTGTTGAACAATGGGTAATTTGATCTTACTGGTTTTGGTACTAATCTTAAGAGATGGCTTTTTTATCTTTTTGGTTAATTGAGACCAAATTTCTGAGAAGATTAAGTACTACATGAAGGAAAATGCAAAACGTACAAAAAAAAAAATCCATTTGTGAACAGCAGGTATAACCACCCCCCGCCCTTTTTTTTTTTTTTCATTTTCATGATTTCATCTGGAATTGTGTTCACTTATGGTTCACTGATGTTACCATCTCCTCTTTTATCTTGATGTCCCATTTCATTCCATTCTCTACCAGGCTAAATTCAAAGCAATGATCACATATGTAAAATACCACATCCTTTATTTCTGTAATGACTTACCCACAAGAGATAGGTTTTTATGTCAGCATAATTAATATTTTTGAATTCTGAATCCTTTATTACATATTTGTGTAGATCAATGGAGCAAAGAAATGTGCTCAAGAAACTGTGTGGCAAAATAATCTTCCCTCTTATGAAGCACATAGATATAAAAATCCCTTCTTTGTCCTGGGGCACCTGGGTGGCTCAGTTGGTTAAACATCCAACTCTTGGTTTCAGCTCGGGTCATGATCTCATGGTTCATGAGTTTGAGCCCTGTATCAGGCTCCATGCTGATGGTGGGGAGCCTGCTTGGGATTCTCTCCCTCTGTCTCTGTCTGCCCTTCCCCTGCTTGCTCGCTCTGTCTCTCTCTCAAAATATAAATTTAAAAAAGTATTAAAATCCCTTCTTTGTCCTTTAAAAATGGATGGAACTGGAGGGTATTATGCTAAGTGAAATTAGTCAGTCAGAAAAAGACAAAAATCATACGACTTCACTCATATGAGGACTTTAAGAGACAAAAACAGATGAACATAAGGGAAGGGAAACAAAAATAATATAAAGACAGGGAGGGGGACAAAACAAAAAGGACTCATAAATATGGAGAACAAACTGAGGGTTGCTGGAGGGGTTGTGGGAGGGGGGATGGGCTAAATGGGTAAGGGGCATTAAGGAATTTACTCCTGAAATCATTGCTTCACTATATACTAATTTGGATGTAAATCTTAAAAAATAAAAAAAAATAAAGTTAAATTATAAAAAATAAAAATAAAAATGGAAGTAAAAGTAAGGAGTAAGTATTCCTGATGACTATGTGTTTTGTTGAAGAATAACCATGAGACACTTGAGCGCACTAATGAATTTTTTAATGACATCATTCCAAGTGCTCATGCTTTGTTGCAATCTGAGAGAAATCAGAATGTCAAGAATCAGGGCTTCCTGAGTTACCATAGTTTGATGTTTGAGCCCTTTTTGTCATTGGGTCAATTGAGCCCCTTAACCTTCCGTGCTGTTCACTGCTGTTTCAAGCAGTAACACCACAGTACCTCTTTTAGGTAGGAGTGAAGCAGAATTTGTTTTCATAACCCTGGCGTAATTTTTATATCATTCAGTGCTGCCAGGAGAGAGCACTAGAGGCCTCTCACCATGTTGAACAGTTGTGTTCCTCTTAATTCAGAGAATTTTGAAAGTGAATCTCGTGACAATATTTCTCTTCTGTAAAGAAAAGTCATTCATTGGAGCTGTATGGCTTGAAAGATTTTACACTTTCTTCGCTTTTTCATTGTCATCCAGTCACAGTTCCATTGTCTCGAAACCAAGATAGTTGCTCTGAAACACTGACACCTTCCACCATTCTCTTCATCCTTTATTTCTTATGTGTCTGGCTTTTCTCTTTGGCCCAAATTGGACCGACTGTTTTTAATGATACAGGGACTGACTGTGGGGTATGTTCTATTGACAATGCTTCTTTGTGACACATTGTCCAGTGTTTGTTTGGAAAGCCTAGTACACGTTTTGTTTCTATCTTACTTGCAAATCAGGGAAAGGAAAAATCTACAAAGAACTTGAAAGGTGCTATTTTAGTAAACATTTCAGAAGTTTCAGAAGTAAATTCCCTCTATTTCGTGCAGGATTTCCATTGTACACTTTAGCTTTGAAGAAAAACAAATCTTCATGTCTTAGAATATTTGATTTATATGTTATCTACTGAGTGATCTTCTTCTTGGGAAGAAGTCACGAGAGAGAATGTTTTGCTCAGGTTCACCTCTCCCTTAACGAAGTTGATACCAGCGAAGTGAAATCGAAGTCTGAAAAGCTGCCTCTGCAGAAAGAAAATACTCAACTTAAGATCCAAAAGAATAAGGTAACAAAATTTACTATCAAATGTTATATAAATCAGAGAACTGAACATCATTACTTTCTTTTTAAGTTTCTCTTCTTTAACTGGGGTAAAATACATGCATTAGAAAGTTTCCCATCATAAACATTTAAGTGTACATGTTAGTATTGGGAAGTACATTCTCTATACTGTACGTTCTTCTATAGTCATTCCACCTTTCTCAAATCTGTCTTAAAGTCAGGAGATACTACTGCACGCATCAAGGATTCGATGCAGGGAGTCTTGACGTCTAATAATGTAACCTGGAATAGGTGTTGCTTTGGGGTCGGGGGCGGGGGAGAAAACTGCACTTGATAGAATGAGTTTGCTCTGGGAAGGTAAAAAGTGGCTCCCTGCCTTGGGAATCTTGTCCCTTCTCCTCTCCCCCCTCATGGCCACACTCGTGGGAACAGGTGTGCACACTCAGGTAAACTGTTTTATGCTTGACAGGCAGCGAAAGGGAACTGGGGGACAACTGTGATGCACTTAGGAGTGTGAAAGGGGCAAAGGACGCCAAATGGGACACACTGAAGAAGAATGTAGACATTCGTGATGGAATGTGTGGACAAAGACAGAAGCTCACAGAAGAGTAAGACTTTCAGGAGTTGTTACAAACACTGTTGTAGAACAAATGTGTCAGATAGTGGGGATAATTTGCTTTCTTTGAGCACATTTAACACCAACCATACTTTTACCCTAGTAATCAGTAAAGAATTGTGTTTCTCCCTTCTGCCTTGATTTCTGTGATCTGCATCTTCCTTCACTTTGTGGAAACCTCGGGTTTCATTTTCATTGTCCTTTACATTTCAGTCCCATTGTGGTGACATGACTGCCATATGTGTATATATTTGGTTGAACTCTAGACATTGGGTAGGAAATATTGGGAGGAGAATTCAGGTGTACTGTGATGGTATCTTGCTGTAGATGATATGGGAGTTTATATCTGGTAGGAGATCAGGGGTGCCAGCATTACTGAAACCTGTGAACTCAGTTTTCCTTCCCTTCCCTTCCCTTCCCTTCCCTTCCCTTCCCTTCCCTTCCCTCCCCTCCCCTTCCCTTCCCTTCCCTTCCCTTCCCTTCCCTTCCCTTCCCTTCCTATCCCTTCCCTGCATTCCTTTTCCAGGAGACAATATTCTGAAGGTGGGCAATTCACATCATTTTCTTTTCATCAGTGTATTTTACATTCTTCTCAACTGGTGTCTTTGAGGCAGGTGGCAGGAGTTCCCTCGTGAACTGTAGAAATATCCAGGAGGTCATTGTACAGTGTTTAATGACATGTGACCAAGAAAGATGTCTCTATGGCAATGTCATGGCCCGAGCCTTGATTGAAAGTTCAGGGCTCTTGGGAGAAATCAGTCAAGTCAGAAACCCCTGTGCCATCCTTATGTGTTTAGTTGTGATGAGTTGGCCAGGCTTAGTTTTGTACACTGAAAAGAAATACACTTATGCCGTCCCAATCACAAGAGCCTGAGACTGGGAGGGCACTTAGTGCATCTCATGTGGGCTTTTTATATTTATGTGATGTGTTGATGAGTAGGAATAGATAGCTGTGAAGAGAAGCTCGGAGTTGCCAAAGACTTTCCAGCACGCTGGAGTTTGAGTTTGTTTAGTCCCTTAATAGGGGGCGTCAATGCTTCCCCCTGGTTGTGTTTGTGGATCTGTGCATTTACGGGGAAGGGGAGAGGGGACACTTGAGTCCTGCCTTCAGATTTCACGGAGGGAAGAAAAGCAGAATTTCACATGGGCTACCAGGTAATGTATGTTTCTTTCCACTCGTAGGGAGCTGGGACTGAAAGAATGGGAGCAGGTGGAAGGGGAGAAGCAGCTGTCAGTTACAGAGGGGAAAGTGAAATTAGCTGCAGAAGAGCTGTGGAACTGCAAGTGAGTGCAGCTCCTACCAGCAGCTCATGCGACAGCCATTGAATTAGTTTGAAACCTTGTATAGTGTTTAGACCCAAATAGCACACAAATATACACAAACATTCAGGAGACATTCACTTCAAGAGAGATGTGACCTTTTCCAGATGTTAAGTTAAAAATATTAACCTAAGCAAGTTAAGTAACTAAAGATTTCCTGATCCCCAATGCTGGCCAGACTATGTGGAAATGTGGTTCCTGAACATGTTTCTGGAGGTGCTGGAAATGATTACAAACCGCAGGAAGCAGTTTGGTCGAGGACAAATCACATCGACAAGTATGACCATCGCATTTTAGAGACCCACTTGTTGTAACCATGAGAAATATGATAAGGATACAAGGAAAAGAAGATTTGAACTTTACAATGAAAGATCTTCATTGCAGAATTAGGGAGCTGTCACCACAGGTAAGGAGACCGTGTCAACGTGGAGCCCCACAGGCATTAAATAATAAATCCAAGATGATGTAGCGATGGCTTTGAGCTTTCTGTACTCTCCTCCTCATGTGAAATGTGTTTTATATGATTGGGTCGTGTGTATGAGAATTCAGTTCTTATAATGGGAACCTGGGCCAATTAACATCACCCTCAACAGGGTGCTTCATCTGATGAAGCCATTGCACGCCCAGGAGAAGAGTAGAAGAAACACCAGAACAGCTGCAGCAGTCAGAGCTCACCTTCGGACACCAGGCAGCCTGCACTCTGCCTAGTAGTTCCTGAGTGCTTCAGCACCTAACGCAGATGATCATAATGGGACACTGAATCTCTCCACATGGGTTTTATTGATGTGCTGACTCTTTCAGATTGCTCTTTGTGAGAAGGCACTTCAGGACAACTGGGTAAGAATGTTTTACTCTCCTCCTCTTGTGCACACCCTGCCACAGCTGAACGTGGATGTGTTTCTCTCTTGAGCTCAGGGCTCATGATGTGGAGAGGGCAGTGGCGGAGCAGAGCAGGGGGGGTCGCCTACTTGAAATGCAGGTACAGGGTTTTGACAGGCGCTGTGAGGTTTTTAAAAAGGCTAAACCGTTTGGTGTCCAATGGAGGCCTGGGTGTGGTAACTCTTAGTGAAACTCATTCATCTCGATCTTCAAGACTGGAAGTCATCCAAAGACAGAGGCTTCCCGAGGAATTCAGGAGGCACAAACCAATGGCAAGAGGACCTGACAGGGAGATCCTTCCATGGAGAGGTATGGAGCACATTGTGAAATGCAGTAGCTTAACTTCTGCGGCAACATCCACAAAATAGGCTTCTTGTTCCAGTGGGCGTAATTGCTTGGTCTCATGCAAACAGTCCCAGGTGGTTACTAGAGGGCACAGGTTGTCCCACAGTGGTCACAAGCCACTGTTTCCCTCAGATGCCCGCAGCCAGCAGCACTCTTTGGGTCTGTCCCTTGTGAGTGGTGGAGCTCACGCCTCTCCACTGACTGTGAGCCCCCCTGCAACCTCCCGGTTACACTTAACTGGAGAGTGGGTGCTAGAACGATCGTGGGTCAGCGCCCCTTCCACCTTGAGACAATGTTGAAGGCTGTTTCTTTTGTTTCACATGAATAACGTGAACAACAGCATGAACTGGAGGCTGTATGTCCTGATGAGCTTTCTTGATTTGGCTTTTGGATAAATGCCCCAGAGAAAATATGCTTTGTATAAAGAAACAGACATTTCTTCCTCTGTTTAGAGGTCCCTTTATTCTTTAATTTTTTTTTTTTGTATTGTGAACTATAGTACTCCAATAGTAAAGTAAATCCTTGTGAAATTTCACTCTTCCAATGTTATTTTATTAGTGTAACTCTGAAACTTTGCAGGTCATTCCACATAGAATTAACTTTTCCCTTCCTCATTACTATAGTATTAGTCTCTGCAAGGCAATTTCTTTTCGTGAATACTTACATAATCCCTTGTCAGATACATAAGGCAGATGATATACACAGTAAACCACTTGAAAAATCCCACCCATGTCTGGTAGAAAAGGACAGTGTGCTATTCATATTGATATTTACTGACATTATCCTAACTAAGCCATTCATATTTTAATTTTTAATCTGTGATAAATTGTCATTTCCCATGATGTGTATTAGGAAACCCTTATTTTAGTGTTGATTTCCAACGAATTGAGCCCTGACCTGTCCACGGTTGGTTGATTATAAAATATCCAAACAAAGCCTTCTGGTGCCTTCCTCCAGGCTCCCCTGAGTCCCAAGGGGTCATCACCTGTGCCATGTGGAAAACCCTCTCTTTCTGGTAAGGGACCTGATTGTAGGAAGCAGTGCAAGATGGTGGAGGAAGGCACGGAGGGTTTTTTTGTTTTGTTTTGTTTTTGTTTTTTTCCACCCAGTCTATGCAAGTCTGAATAAACCTCCATCCCTTCTTTGGCCTCTATCGAATGCAGAACCTGGTGCAGCTTCTGTGAGGAACAAGAATTCTGTCCCTACTATGGACACAGAGAAGGTCAAGGAAAATAATGTGACCATTTTCAGTTGTCGCTCTCTCTCTGGAATCTTTTCTCTTTAGACAGCATTCTCTCCTTGTCTTGTCTCCAGGTTGTGTGTTCTGAGATATATCTATGGTGTTATTTACTTTACAAACAGTAAAAGTCTTTCCCAAGAGCCTATGGGCCTCTCTGTTCTTAGCTTGTTTGTCATGTTTGGTGGTGCCTCCAGCAGCCATAAGTGTTTAGAGGCTGAGGACCACAGGGAAGTCACTGTGTGTTTGTGGAAATAACATGAGGAGGATGACATCTCACTCCACACTTATGTCTCCTGGCCTGGCTCACTTTTTCCAGACCTCCTTTCATGGGAATATTCCTGAAAATGGAAACAGTATTATTGTTGTTATTTTACTCCTTTTCTGTACAGAGTTAGTCATTAACCTGTTTAAAACATTGGTTGTGATCCTCACTAAGTGAAAAACACGAAAAGTCCTACTTTCTGAGATGTGCTTAACAATTTTGAATGCTCTTATTCAAAGGTTATTTTTTCCCCAAGTTTCATAATTCATCAGTTTTCCCATCTCTGGGAAATGTGCTTTTGCAGAGTCACTGCAGCTGTTCACATAGTAAAAATATTATAAATTCTCAGGGAAGACATATTTGCAGTAGAACAATGCAATGTTTGCAGTGAGGAAACCCTGCATTAATCCAGATGTTGTGGATGTTTCCCACCTACCAGCTACCTCACAGTAGTACCAATCCAGGTGGGAGCTGAGGTAGACTTGTAGTAGTTTTTGGGGTGAGACTTATGATGTCCCGTATTCCTCCCAGTCTTGTCTTGTCTTTTCTTTTCTTTTCTTTTCTTTTCTTTTCTTTTCTTTTCTTTTTTTTTTTTTTTTGCAATGGTTGTTTATTTTTTGAGCAGGAGAGAGAGAGAGAGAGAGAGAGAGAACACGAGAGAGAGAGAGAGAGAGAGAACACGAGAGAGAGAGAGAGAGAGAGAGAGAGAGAGAGAGAGAGAGAGTCCAAAGCAGTCTCCAGGCTCTGAGCTGTCAGCTCAGAACCTGATGAGAGGCTCAAACTCACAACCTATGAGATCACGACCTGAGCCAAAGTCAGACACTTACTCGACTGAGCCACCCAGATGACTCTCCTCCCACTGTTTTCTTAGTGATGGATGGGCAGGGCAGAGGTCGAAGACATGGTACCCTATCCTCCCTCACCATCGAGGCGGGGTTGGTTGTAAGCATCTGGCTCTTTCCAGGTCCTCAAAGCCCATGCATTCTTCCCCTGAGCCCCTGATGCCTGCAGGGCCCTCCTTCCTCCCAGGTTGTGGAGGCAACCAGCCCTCCAGCAACTTTGGGATCATGGCTGGGCCACCAAGGGGTCAAGGTCTGGCTGTCCAGACGCTTCCCAGGAGTGGCTTGGAACAGCAATGCTGCAGTACAGGTCAGCATGAACAGCTTCTGTAAACAGGATTCTCATACACTGCGATCAGAGCCTGGGCTAAAACATGACAGGAGAGAGGGGGACACAGGACATGTGGTGCCATGCCTCATGGACAGGGCTGCATAGAGCAGAAGGACGAGACCCTGGGGAGAGGCAGAGAAAGAGACAGGCAGGGAGAGAGACACTGAGTCAGTGATGGGGGAATTGGGCACGTCTGAGAGAGTGAGAGGAAGAAACAGGGAGACAGGAGTAGAGAGAAGCAGAGACAAAGAGGAGGCAAGGAAGAAAGGATGGAGCTGGTCACAGTGTGTGGAGGGGGCGACGGACCACGCAGGAGGGGCTCTGTGATGATGCTCTTAGTGTTGGAGGCAGAAAGGGTAGGAACTCTGGGCATGACAGTTCCCTGAGTACAAGTCTCCAACCTCCCTGGGGCAACCTCTGTACAGGCCATTGCCCCTGGGAAGATGGGTCCCCCTCATTTTGCCTGGCATGTTGGGGCCCAGTCTCAGGATCGGTCATGGAGAGAAATGGCTTGAGGCAGAGTGTGCAGCTCGTTAGAAGATAAAGTCCAGAGTGTGCCCCCATGGGGGAGATAATTATCTGTCTCCCCCACCACCCCGAGTCGCTGCTCCATTCCCCCGTGCTTGATCACGACCTTCCTTATGTTCCAAAACGAGGCATCAGGCATTGGGCTGCCCCCAGAGCCTGCAGCCTGGAACTTGAAAAGATGGATTATTGATCTCAATGAAAAGTATTTGAGAATAAGGTCCGTTTTCTCCTTCTGGAACTGTGATGGAACCAGGCTGGAATGCTGGCGGAAAAACCAAGTGGCACTTGGAGATCTTGGTGGGTTGGAGATTTATTTCACACTGGCAGGCTCAGAAGAGAACATTTCTCCAAAGATCTGAGCCCCGAATGCGAGCAGGAAGGGTAATATATCATTATCAGCCTCCATATTTGTGTGTGTGTATGTGTGTGTGTGTGTGTGTGGGGAGGGTATTCACGTGTGCAGCAAACAAGGAAGAAGACCCTGGAGGAGGGGTCTCTAAGCTAGAGACCAGAGTTTGTTTTAGTCCAATCAGCCATCTTTGTTGTACTTTATTCACTTCTCTAACATTCCCCACTTTGATGCCTTAAAAAAAAAAAAACAAACTTTTAGCAGGCATCACTTTTCAGTTTTACAGGTTTG